CCTCCAATCCGCCCCGATTCCTGCGCCTCCTCCAGCCGATCCGCATGGGTACGTCCTCCCCCGACTTCTCCCCTCCCTGGCTCTCGATTCAGGTGCTTTTCGCCGCCGGCCGTGGCCTGCCGCGGCAGATCTGGCGGCCTAGGGTTCTTGGGGCTCTAGATTTGTGGCACTTGGATCGGTGGTCCTCTCGGCCGGATTCCTGATGGGGTTTTGGGCTGTTCTTGAGCTGATTTGGATGCTTCCTGGCACTTGGATGTGTTCATTTCGCTTGGGTTTTGGCGCTGTTCCGGGGGAGCCGCGGCTCCAGATTCTCTAGTTTTGTGGAGAAAGCTGGGCTGGATCTTTCTCGCACTGTCTCTTGCTACCCGAGATTAATTGCCTTTTTGGTCGGGTCGGTGTAGCTCCGGTCGCTGATCTGCTAAGCTTTCAAGTTCCGATTCGCTGAAGCAAATCTCAGTGGCGCGTAGTCCATTCTAGTGGAGTAGATTTGTTGTACTGCCAAATAAATTTGTCGGAGCTGAAATTAAATGATGACGAGATAGATTTCGCTTCCAGGTTGTTTTCCGGTCCTGCCAAATTAGAAATTAATAGATCGTTTCCGGATGATAGTGCCGAAATTCACAGTGTCCCTCTACTTCACTGCTTGGTTTACATGTTTTCTCAGGTTACACTTTGCTGTCGACGCTGTGCTATGTTGTTTGCGATTCCACACGAGTGTGCTCTGTATTTTGTTCCTCAATATTCTTATCATTTGCCCTACTTTGCTGCAGATCAATGGAGTTTTCATAGCTCTCAAGGTTAAGATCAACAGTACTGTGCAGTGAACTCTTGTTCATTTCTTGGTCCTGGGCTTCTTCATTCTTGCTCAAGTCCAGCTGTCTGTTGATCCAATTCAAAGGTGGAGATGAGTGTGGAGTACAATATGGATGAAGCTTTGAAAGCACGAAATACTGCAGAGAGCAAGTTTCATGCGCGTGACCTCAGGGGCGCACGCAAGTATGCGGTCAAGGCCCAGAATCTCTGCCCATCGCTTGAGGGCATATCCCAGATGGCGTCGACTCTTGAAGTTCATCTTGCAGCAGAGTCCAAGATTGATGGAGAGAGTGATTGGTACCGGATCTTGTCCCTGCCCGCCTTTGCAGATGAAGAGGATGTGAAGAAGCAGTACAGGAAGCTAGCTCTCCAGCTGCACCCTGATAAGAACAAGTCAGTCGGTGCTGAGGAGGCCTTTAAACTGATCTCTGAGGCGTGGAGTGTGTTGTCTGATACTAGTCGGAAGGCAATTTATGATCAGAAGAGGTCAGATCATTCTGTTGTCAACGTAACCAATGGCATGTATACGTATGACAAGAAGGCGACCAAGAGAGCTCGAAAGAATGCTGCTGCTGCCGCCGCCGCCGCCGCTGCTGCTGCGGCTGCTGCTGAGGCTACTGCTCGTCCTGCTGGTGTTGATACTTTCTGGACATCTTGCAATCGCTGCCGTATGCAGTATGAGTACTTAAGAATGTATCTTAATCATAACCTTCTGTGCCCAAACTGCCATCATGCGTTCATGGCGGTAGAGACTGGATTTCCTTGCAACGGAAGCAGTTCATCTTTCTCCTGGTCAACCAAGCAGCAGCCACAGAACCACAGTTCCACCAAACATTCATATGGCTCAACAAGCAGGACTTCTAGCATTCCGGGGACAGGGCATGTGGGGTATCAGCAAGATAGCACTTATGATTCCTACAACAGTCAAAGCTTTCAGTGGAATCAGTACTCCAAGACAGCGCCTGCAGCTGACACAAATGCTTACAGTACCCAGGCTTCCGAGAAACCTAGAAGAAATGAAGAGAGCTACAGCTACAACTACCCTGAAAGTGGAAACACATGTGACCCTGAGAGAACTACTTCAAGGCGTGGCCGGTTTGCAAAGCGGAGAAGGCATAGTAATGATTATACTACTGTGGATTATGCTGGAGATAACAAAGAAACAGTGGTTGCAAGCACAGAGACAAATGCTTTCACAGATGTGGGGCGGGTTAATGGCACTTCAGTGGAAAAGATGAGATCTGCAGTGAGTGTAAGGAGAGCCAATGTTTTGAGAGAGATCTCCCAGATTGATACACGGGGTCTACTTGTTGAGAAAGCCAAAGAAGCCGTCCGGGGAAAATTGCAAGAGCTGAGCATGGCAGCATGTTCACGGTTTGCAGAGAAAAGAAAGTCAGAAGGAAAGGTATATCCTAGTGACAACAACATAAAGGCAAATGGGGTCCTCTCTGGCAAGCTTGGCAAAGGACTCAAGCTATGCAGTTCAATAAGTGTCGACACCCACGTACCTGCAACTGCAGCTGATGAAAAGAATCCAGAACAGAAGCGTGTGCCTGTTTCAATTGATGTCCCAGATCCTGACTTCCATGATTTTGATAAGGATCGCACAGAGAGAGCTTTTTATAGCGACCAAGTATGGGCTACATATGACAGTGAGGATGGAATGCCTCGTCTATATGCAATGGTGCAGAAAGTTCTTTCAATGAGACCTTTCAGAATCCGCATGAGTTTCCTCAATTCCAAATCCAATATTGAACTGTCGCCAATAAACTGGGTTGCCTCTGGTTTCCAGAAAACATGTGGCGATTTTAGGGTTGGAAGGTACCAGATTACGGAAACAGTCAACATATTTTCGCACAAAGTCAGCTGGACTAAAGGCCCCCGTGGGATTATCAGAATTATTCCTCAGAAAGGTGATACATGGGCTTTGTACCGAGACTGGTCTCCTGATTGGAACGAGCTTACACCTGATGATGTGATATATAAATACGAGATTGTCGAAGTTATTGATGATTTCACTGAGGAGCAAGGGCTGACTGTCATTCCATTGTTGAAGGTTGCTGGCTTCAAAGCTGTGTTCCATAGGCACATGGACCCCAAGGAGGTCAGGAGGATACCAAAGGGTGAGCTGTTTCGTTTCTCGCATCAGGTTCCTTCTCGACTGCTGACTGGTGAAGAAGGCAACAATGCCCCGGAAGGTTGTCATGAGCTCGATCCTGCTGCAACCCCAGTGGACCTTCTTAAGGTTATTACAGAGGTGAATGAAGACGTGGCGGCACAGACTGCTGAATAGAAGAGGGCAACAACTCTGAACACTGAAGATAGCTTGGGTGTCTGAAGTGTGAAATGTACTACACAGATGACAACAAGTCAACATTTGTTGGTGTCTTAGTTCTATTATGCCATCTTATTTTTGGCTGATGACTTGGACAATACTGCCAGGGCAAGCAGCTTATGTCGTGGACTTCTGACTGTTAATTCTTAGGCATTTCTAACACTCGGAGTTTATCGCGCCATGGATATCATCTTCTAGAGTAAAAGAAGCATTGGGAGGCGATTGATGCGGCGACTAGTCAAAGGAAAGCTATGGAGCCTCATGGCTTGCTGACGGCGTTACTCTGTTCAGGTATGGTGTTGAGCATAGGAGCCATCAAGTTCGAGGGGGGAGACGCCACTGGACTTCCCCATGTACCCAGAAATTATTAATGTACCAAATTTACCTAAGATGTTGTATTTCCTTTAATCTATAGCGATGCGTCCTTATATAATGTTGAACTCGATGATTTCAAAATTCTGATTTGAACTCGGTGAACTGGTTCGGCAATTTAATATTATATTTAGTGGAAGCTTGCTCGTGGGCTTGTTCTCTTTCCTTTTATTGCTTGGCCGGATTAATGATGGAGATGGAAATTTTGTGCTGTTGACAATACAGTGTTCACTCCATGTTCATTCGATTTTCGAGATAAATGCAGTGTTCACTTCTTGCCGGTTTTCAACTATTCAGTGGAGCATGTGAATGGTTTGTTATGCCCTGTGAATGATCTTTTTTTAAGTTCAAAATTTTCCTTATTCATTCATGAGAATAGTAGCATCATTTACAAGACTGGACATTACAGCCTCATCTTTTGGCTAAACATTAGGAGGATTAAATCTAGCTGAACTAGCTAGTTCATGGGCTACCCGATTACATTCTCTATGACTGCTCAAAGATGACATGGGTGAACTCCACATTCTCTATGACTATGCTCAAAGACGACATGGATGAACTCCACATTCTCTATGACTATGCTCAAAGATGACATGGGTGAACTCCAAAGTCATGGATAGCAGTCATCAAATATGTTGCTTGCAACTGACGATGAGTTTCAGTAGTAGTGATCACCTCGAAAGTCATCTTCTGCTCGCGAGTTCAAATGAGCCCACAATGAACAATATAATAAAAAATTCAAAAAAATCTAATTTTTTTGTGGCGAACTTTGACAAATGTTTTTAGTGCTTGCAAAATTTAATCATTGAAATGACATTTGTGGAAGGCACGGCAAAAAAATATATAATTAGCATTCCAAAATGTTTTTGAAAATAACACTTTTGGAGCATTGAATTTTTGCCACAATTTCCTCGTATATCATTTAATGATGAAATTTTGTGAGCACTGAAAACATTTGTCAATTTTTGCAAACAAACAAAAAGCTCATTTGGGCTGGAGCTCAGAAACACCACATCCGACTGTCCTTGCAAGGTTCATCCCAAACCTTAGTGTTAATTCGACCGTGAAGGCATTGAAGCAGAACTCAATCTTTTCATTTGCCGCTACTATGAACTCTCCACTGGGTTGGAATCATGGTTCCATCCACATTGAGCTTTGCATAGCCTGCAAGCAATAGAAAATTTAACAGCTAGTTAGCGAAAAATTAGAAGAACTTGCCAAATGATTGAGTATGTTCTCCATGGAGAAACTTCCCGCGTTCCCACCACATGAATCATATCGCAACAACAACAATCTCTTTAAAATTTGCCTGACCAAGCACCGAAACCTCCTCTTCTAGTATGCTCAACAGGGAAGTCCAACCTTGCTTCACTAGCCAAATCAACAAATTCGGACCTTGTGATAACATCATCAACACCCAATAGGGGCCACATCTCCTTAATTGTAGGGCATTCAAACAACATATGCCTTGTGGTATCCGGACTAGTTTTACAGCCGGAACATTGGGCTTCAATCTTTATATATTTGTCGGCGAGAGCGGCTCTACAAGGGATGGCTCCCCGCAACCACACAAATATTTTCACCTTCGCAAGACACAGAAGACTCCGGACAATACCCCACGTATTGTTTCTTGTAGAAGGATCAATAAGGTCACTAACCCGAGAGATGAGTTGGTTTCCTGTAACTGCTAGAACCTTGTTGCATGATGACTGCGGAGTCCATGCATCTTCTGGATGTTTATTTTTTCGCCGTACTCTTCAAATGTGATCACGCTTAATTGTATTAACTCCCGCATAATGCTCTGTCATGCATATGATGATTTGTTCTTCAAACTAGCATTGAGTAGATCACCATCCAAAAAGTATTTGATTCTAAGAATAGTATCACAGAAGAAATCAAGATCATCAATTAAACATCATGCTTGTTTTGCCAATAAATCAAGGTCAAAGCAATGGATACTACAGAATAGCATTTCACCACTCTTTGGGATACACATTTTCCACCAGGCGAACCAGTGCATTCTTTTATGGTTTGCATCATCAACCCACCAAAATCTTGACATCGCCATATGTAATTCCTTAGGAATTTTGAAGACAAGCATCGCATGTTGGTATTGCTTATGCAACCAATTTTAATAACACCACTTTTCCACCTGAAGAAAGACACTTCTCTTTCAATCCCGTCAATCACTGAATAAGAGGGTCAATAAGATACTAGAAACTATCACTTTTATCCAGCCCTAAAGTAGCCGGCAACCCGAGATATTTATCATTCATTGCTCCAGTCATAATATTGAGGGTAGAGCAAAATTGGGCCTTCATGTTTAGTACTAGGGTCGAAAAGATATACTTGACTTATCCACATGACTAGGTGTCCTGACACTGAACAATACATATCCGGACTTGCTTTTAAACATGCATCATTTTGTACATTGGCTTTCATCAAAACTAAAGAGTCATCAGCAAAGAGAAGGTTTGTACCAGCAGGAGCATCACGGCATACCTTGCTCCATTGAAACTACCATTCTCCTCTGCATGTGTCAACAAAGTTAATGGGCCTTCAATACAAGGTAGAAAAGGTAAGGGGACAGTGAAGCCCCCTGTCGCAGCCCCCTCAAAGGTTTAAAACTTCCAGTATCCTATGTATTAAAGCGCACTAAACACTTGAAACGCATAGCATTACCAACCCAATCAACATGAAAACCCAATTTTAGTAAAATAGCCTTCAAGAAACTTCATTCCACACGATCATAAGCTTTATGCATATCCAACTTTACCACACAACAGCGCCCTTTGCCCACCTTTTCATTTTTATTGCATGGAGACTCTCATACCTGATGAAAACATTAACAGTGATTAACCGATCGGGGACAAAAGCACTCTGTGTTAGACTAATAACCTCAGGCAGAAGGCCTTCGAGTCTGGCAGCTAGCATCTTTGAAATAACTTTGTAAACAACATTGCACAAGCTAATTGGTCTAAATTGGGTAACTTTTTCAGGTGAGTTTATATTTGGCATCATCACAATAGTCGTATCATTCCATCCATGTGGTTTCACCCTAGTATTAACTGTTTTAGGAACCTCCTCAATAAGGTCATCCCTAACATAAACCAAAACCTTTTATAGAATGCAATGTGAAGTCCATCAGGACCAAGAGCATTGAAGTCACCGACAGAGAACAAGACTTTTCTAACCTCCTCCACGGAATAAGGGGCCAAGAGGACATAGTTCATCTCACAAGAAATTCTCCGCCGTACTCAGGATATGACATCAACATTAGGTGCTTGAACTTGGTCAGTAAATAAGCCAGAAAAATAATCCTTAATGGAACCGTTTAGCTCATCTGTACCTTTTCTCCAAACCCTAAAATCGTCCAAAAGTGTTTAAATATAGTTTATTTTCCTCCGAGCCGATGCGACCTTATGAAAGAATGATGTGTGCCTGTCTCCATGCATAAGCCAATTGGCCCAACCTCTCCGGAGGCAAACTGGTTCTTCATTTTTGATCGTTTGAGGATTTTCGATGAGCGTTTGAAGATCTTTCATTTTTGATCGAGATTCAATTGCCAAAGGCCCATGCCTTAATTTCTCTAACTCTTTTTGCAGCTTTGCAACTATTTTTTGGGACTCTTCAAAACATCTTTGTCCCACCGACCGAGATCATTACGAATCGCTTTAGTATGGTCAGCCAAGGATGGGCCGATCCAAGCAAGTTTCGAATATACCCAAGTTGTTGTAACAATTTTAGTCACGGTCTCCTTGTTGAGCCAGCGGGCTTCGGATTTCCTTGGACCTATAGACCATTGTGTATTTACAAGAGCAAAGTACTCCGTATCAAGGAGAATGGGCATGTGATCCAAGTGAACATGGTGTTCATGTATTTTATTTTATTTTGAGAAAATCTGGTGCGCATGTAATAGTGCAGCAGAAGAAAATTTCTCAGCCCAAGTTTCATTGCATAAGGCTCTATCAAGGCGTTCCCCAATCACGCCTCGACTCCACGTGAAGGGATTTCCAATTACATACACTTCTTGAAGAGCAAAGTCATCCACACAATCCCTAAAGCTCTGCATCATTTGTTGTGGTCCGATATTTCCGCCTTCCTTTTCACTAGCAACTAGAATGTCATTAAAATCACCAATTATCATCCAAGATGTTGTAGCATTGTTGTGAAGATCCCGTGCTACCTCTTGAGCACTACGTTGGTTTTCCCTTGAAGAGGAAAGGGTGATGCAGCAAAGTAGCGTAAGTATTTCCCTCAGTTTTTGAGAACCAAGGTATCAATCCAGTAGGAGGCCACACACGAGTCCCTCGCACCTACACAAACAAATAAAATCCTCGCAACCAACGCAATAAAGGGGTTGTCAATCCCTTCACGGTCACTTACGAAAATGAGATATGATAGATAAGATAAGATAATATTTTTGGTATTTTTATGATAAAGATGCAAAGTAAATAAAGCAAAATAAAAACGGCACCAGAAATAGCTTGTTAACGGGAGATTAATATGATGGAAAATAGACCCGGGGGCCATAGGTTTCACTAGTGGCTTCTCTCGAGAGCATAAGTATTACGATGGGTAAACAA